TGCCGACTCGTCCACATAGATGGACACCTCGCGTCCTCTGATAGATTAATCTGCAAGACGCTTCATCGACGACATCGACCGCATCCTCTACGACGGCAACGACCGCGTCACCAACGACGGCATCGATCACGTCATCTACGACGACAACAACTGCATCAACTCGGCATCACTATTATGGTGACCACTACACGGCACAAAAGGAACAACCAAAATGGTGGCCTCATCGCCAACGACGTCCTCTGACATATGCAAGACGTCTCTAATGGCATCATCTGACATCTACAAGGTGCAAGATGCTAACAATTGCAGTTTCGTCTTCACACCATGGTGTAATTTTTTTTTTCGCCTTCGGCTATATGCGGCTACACCGACAACCACGGCTACTACATGATCGGCTATATCGACGAATGTCTACAACAAGAATCATCTACAGAAACTCCAGTCCAAGCGTCCGTGTCATCGCTATCGTCCATGACACTCCCGCTATGACTGCGGGAGGGAATAGAGGAGAGTCAAGGGACGACACAGAAGGGGACGCAGGCACCAGGTGGAGGACCGTCCATCAGAGATGCAATCGATGATAGTGAGTCGAAAAAGATGGAGAAAAAGATGAAGAAATAGAAGATTTTAAATCCAGTCGCAATCGTTCGCTTCGCTCCCGTTACGACTGAGGGGGAATGTTAGAAGTATAATATGTTAGTTAGAGATAAGAGTCAAATACAAATTATAGAGATAAGATATATCCTAGAGATAGAATCCAAGAGATAAGATAGAGTCCTAGAGATAGAATCCTAGAGATAAATCTACTCTTACTTGTATTGTACTCCAAGTCTCTATCCCCTATGTACTCCTATATATACCCCATGAGAGGGTCGATGTAATAGATCAGAAAACATCAGAATACAACAGTTTAGATTTTTCCACAGTACTATGTTAGGTTTATTTAGTTTTGACCTTGATTGTTTCTCCGCATATGTTTTTATGTGAATCATCATCAAAGTCAGATGGTGAGTCGAAAAAATGTTGTGGCGCCGCCTGTCCACATGCATGGAAAAAGAAAAGGAAAACCAGCACAACAAATGAATGAATTTTTGTGTACTGTAATGCAATTCGTGACTGTTTATTTTTCATGATTATACTGTAACGCAACAAATGTGCCCCATAATACATGCTTAAATGGACCAAGAATACCTGTAAATGTCTAACCGCACCGAAATTCTATTATATTAAAGTGCACCGCGAGTGCACAAGCGCTACTACAGAAACGATTTTTCTAGACGAGACACTCGTTGTATTGCAGACGGGACCATAAATGCCCGCGTCTGAAAAAATCGACCTCCATTTCCACATACGACACCTTAAAAGGCCCTCTTGCGAAAATCGACTTTTGCATGCGGACCCTGTTTTTACCCTGTTCCGTCTTCCATCTAACCCTGTTTTTACCCTGTTAGACCCTCTTCCGTCTAACCCTGTTTCCACTACACCATTAAGATTTGGTTTAAAAGAATGAAATAATTATAATTAAATTTCATAATGCCAAAATATCCTTCAGGAAACCATATCCATCCCAAACCCTATCCACATATGTATCTCTCTCTCTCCTGCTGGCGAGTTGCGGCACCGGCGCTTGGTGTCTTAAGGGAGGAAGGGGATGGTGCCGGCAGGAAGCGCGCGGAGGGGATCCGCACCGGTGCCCGCTTGTGGACGCAGGGGTGGCGGCGGCGGGAAGCGTGTGGAGGCGATCCAGGCCGGCGCACGCTAGTGAAGGGAAGGAACGGCGGCGGTGAGAAACGGACGGAGGGTTCCGTGCCTGCGTCAGATCACGAAGGAAGGGAGCAGCAGCGCCGAGCCTCTTCGACGGCGGTGGCAGCGCCGGCGCGTGGTGAAGCTGCGCGCACAGTCGGGTGAGGCGGCGTCGGCGTCGGAGAAGGTAGGGAAGGGAGCCGTGCTGGAGGGAAGAAGCGGCGCCGCCGGCGCACGGAGGACGGAAGGAGGCAGCATCGGCGCCGGCGCAGGCATGTGGAAAGAGGGAAAAGACGGCGGTGGCGATAGGCATGCGGAAGGAGGGAGGAGGCCGCGGCGCCAGCAGGAAGAGGAGGCACCGCCGGCATGCACGAAGGAAGGAAGGCGGCAAGCCCGCCGATGGAGCTGTGACGGCTAGATCCGGGGAGGGAGGGGCGACGACAGGGCGGTTTTCCACAGCTGCTGGCCGGTGCCGGCTCACCCTCTAGACGCTCGCCGCCTTCTCCCTGCGAGTGGAGCTGTGGAGGAGAGGAGAAGAGAGAAAAGAGAAAAGAGGAGAAGACGAGAAGAGAGAATTGATGGGTGGGTCCCACATATAATAGGGTCAAATGATTAAGGGAAGAAGGAACATTTTGTGCTTCAGTTAACGTCATTAGATGCCCTTAACAGAATAGGGCATACCATATCTTCGGATTTGATAAGAAGGGCCAAATAAGCAAAGTTGATAAAAAAGGGTCAAATTGATAGTTAGCTTTCAAAAGAGGGTCAAATGCGCAATTGCCCCTTAAAAAAAGTCCCATGGTAAATTGCTGGTGTTATATTGAAGATAAGGACTGAAGAGTATAGCGAAACCATACAATTCGCGGTTAATTAGGGGGCAAATCAGAATGAGACCACAAAATTTAGAAACTAACACCGTAGTCAGCTTAACACTACTAAACAATAGTTTTTTTTTTCTGATGACCAAAATCAATCTTGGATGACGGCTAGACTAAACCACCTACGACCAAAGGCCAGAGAAAATACACTATCTGCATATGCGGGCTTCATCTGCGATAAAAAATCTATTTTTACTGGCAGCAAGGTTAAGTGGACCGTCAAAAAAAATTGACTTTTGCAGGCGGCAACATTAAGCCAACCACCAACGAAAATGATTTTCTAGGAAAAATAAATAAATTCCCAAAAATAACTCCACCGAATCCACCGCTCGCAACCCGCACTCGACCTCCTGCCACCAGTGGCCTGTTTGACCCCGGCACCCACAACCCACGCTCGAGTTCCCATCGATGGTGGCCCACACAACCCCACCTCCCACAATGTGCACTGGAGATCTGCCGCCGGTGCCCCGCGCAACCCCGCGCATCTGTGGCCCCATGCTCGAGATCCGCTGTCAGTAACCCACTATCGAGATCCGCCACCAGAGGCCTGCGCAACCTGGCCATTTGTGGTTCGTGCTTGAAATCCGCCGCCGGTGGCCCGTGCGACCCCACCACCCGTAGTCGCTGTCCGTTCGCGTGACGCCGTGAGAGAAAAGATATGGTTAAGGTCACTTAGTCCTGCCAGGATCTGCCCGCCCGGCGCTGCCCTGAGTTAGGAAAGGAGGAAAGGAGGGAGGAGGGATCGAGAGGGAGTGAGAGAGGAGAGGGATGAGAGGCTGAGGATAAGACATATACAATTGGGAGGAGGACCATGTCTTTTATGTAGGCTGAAATTTATTTTTTATGTCGGCTCATTGAGAACTGCTTACGAAAATCTATTTTTACTAAGGCAAATTTTACTATAGGACGCCGTGACTTCATGGATTTAGCTGTAGGACACTATCAGGGTTACGAATAAGATATACCCTCTATCCTTGGATGTACGTTGTATACTGATACGGTATACCCGCGCGTGTACGGATAGTTTCCGTATATATTAAGGAAATCTATCACGTGATAGGGATGGTATCTACAGATGAAAGGAGTTCTACTCGGACAAGACTGGGTCACCATATCGTGAGGGGTCCGATATCTTCGAGTCCTACTTGGAGATCAACTGACCCGCGGTATATAAGGGACCCCTGGGCAGGACCGAAGGCATCGAATATTACCGCCAACACACCCACCACAGCCTACGGAGTCGGAGCGTGCAGGAGCCAAGTCGCCGGGAGATCTAGTCGGACCAACTTGACTATGATCTCGTCGATATCATCGAGTTCTGCTATTCTCTTTGTAATCTGTGGTTTCCATCATATAATTCCATACCAATTGGATTATGGCTATTACCTACCAAGGGGCCTGAACCAGTATAATCCTTATCTTCTATTTGCTTGATGTCGTACTACGTCGATCCTCGTACCAACGGATCCCAATACCTTTTTATCCGGTCTACGGGTATCCCCCGTCGACAGACACCCTTATCTTCTGTTTGCTTGATGTCATACTACATCGATCCTCGTACCAACGGATCCCAATACCCTCTTTATCCGGTCTACGGGTATCCCCCGTCGACAGACACCCTTATCTTCTGTTTGCTTGATGTCATACTACGTCGATCCTCGTACCAACGGATCCCAATACCCTCTTTATCCGGTGCACATGTCAGATCCTCGGCCCACATGTCAGATCTCCCCTTCCCAATTTCGAGCTCACGCGACAAGTCCGACCACCGCGGCGATGGATTTCTCCGGCGGCGACGGCGCAACATTGTCGGACTTGTACCAGAGCACGCGGCGGCTGCTACTCCGCCCGCGATGATGTGGCCCGCGTCAAGCGCCTCGCATCGGTGCCCACCTCGTCCTCCTACTTGGCGCTGATGAGGACGTGCAGCGGGTGGTGCCCACCTCGTCAAACTATTCTAAGTTTAACTAAGTTTATAAATAACTACACACCAAATTATTTCATTAAATCAATAATTAAATATATTTTTATAATATATTTGTCTTGTGTTGGGAATGTTATTAATTACTTTTTGTACAAACTAGGTTAAACTTGGAGAAGTTTATCTTTGACCAAAGTCAAAGCGACTTATAATATGAAACGGATGGTGTAGTATATATACATTACTAGCAAGACTAGTGCAGTGGCATTATGGAAAAAGGTTATTGCATATTTATAAAGTACAAGATGGAGAAAGTACTTTAAAGCCCAAACAAATTAATGTATTGTCGATCAATCATCACTTGCATTATAAATCTACTCACTAGTAGCTTTCAAGAAAGACTTAGGGTAATCGTAATTTTAAAATTCTAGCTATGATGAGATTAGAAGGAATTTTACCTTGGCAACCATCCTGTCGATAAGGATTTCCTTGGTACCCGTTTGTGCAATTGCATATATAGCCTGGTCCATTGGAGGAATTGAAGCACTCGCTCTTGTCACTTTTACACGCGTATAACGTGAGATTTTTTTGTGCTTCGTCACAGTTGTTCACAGTTCGGATAGCCCAATCCAGTAGCATTGGCGCCCGGCCGCCGTAGGAGGTGTTAAACTCCGGCGAAGTCAAGTAGCTTGTTGAGAACTTGAAGTCGGACGAATCCATGAGCACAGCGTAACTGCATAGGGTGGCGTTGTAGATCGAGTCCGACGTGTTGAAGGCTTGGTCGAAGAAGACCTGGTAATAAGGGAGGCCCTTGGGGATGGTTGTCTGGCAGCAGCCTACCCCAGAGCAGGTACCGTTGGTGGCGCTCGTCACGTCACCTCGCCGGCAGGCGGACACGCACCCGCTCATGAGCTTGCCCACGTTGTCCTTATCGGCAATATATGCCAGTGTTCGGCACCCGATGACGGTGAACTTGTTGCCGGTGTCGGACAACATGAACGGAGTGTCCAAGTCACTCTGAAATGTATTTGGTTCCATCAACTTAGATGCAGGATTGTAGCAGAAAGAAGATATCTTATTCAGCACCCGGAGCTGACTGAGCTGAAGGGAGATGTTGACGACCTCGAAATCTCCGAGGAACGGCCTGGAGTTCTTGCAGGCTAGCTCAAATCCAGGCATGGCGCAGCGGCCTGGGCCGATGCTGAATGGGTAAGGGATGTCCACGCTGCCGCACTTGGTGTCCGGGCATTCCGCCACTGCACCGCCGGTGATGAGGCCGAGCTCCAAAGAAGCGAACGCTATGGCGAGCCATAGCATTGTTCGCCCTCTATGGCAAGCAGGCATGGTTAATTTCTTTCTGGTGGTGTACTTTTCTTTTTTGCGAGGTGATTGCCTAGTTGTGTGCACCTCATACAGTTCGACGACTGCTCGTATATATATGAAGGCAAGCGTAGCCGCTAGCATCCATGAATCATCTTGGATGTGTCGTTCACCACAAAAGTACAATAAAACAAAAAGATCCAACGATTCGTACCAAGTCTTCGCATGTACTATATATTTCCGCAAAGGTCGCTATAATGGGTTGACCCGAAATCTTTATGAATGCCCCCTTGCTCTCTTTGCCCATGGAAATATTCCAATAATGTTCAGAAATTGGTTAATTATCGGGTTAGACATGGACATATAGAACGACATTTCTGAACAATATGGCCATGTCTAAATGACATGACGTTTTAACAAAGAATCCCACGTTTAGACCAAAGCATCTTATTAGAGAGCAAGAAAAACTACGGGAGGCAACTCAACAAGCATATGGATTAAAATTTAACAAGAGGTTGAGTGTGACGTGAATTTTTTATTTATTTCAACAACTGGCACTACTACATAAACAATTTTCCTAAAAGAGGCCCACGTTAGGTTGCAAATGGATCATAATTGACCGCGTCTGCAGAAATCGACCTCCATTTTCGCATACGGACATGTATTGAAAAAAAAATCAATTTTCGTATATGGGCGTCTTAACAGGCCCGCACGCGAAAGTAATATATTTTCGCAGGCAGGCCACTTAAGAGACCCATGCCTCTTAAAGACCCGCCTGCAAGTCTAATCTTCCTCCTCTTTCCCTCTCAATCTATTCAACAAAAAGAGAAAAATCTCTTCTCCCATCTCTCTCCATTATCTTCTCCTCACTTCCTCCCCTCCACTCATTCTAACCTGCTCTCATCCTCACTTCCCAACGACATTCCCGGTGACAGCGGGGGCAGCGACGGCGTTGGCAACGGTCACGTGCTCGGGGAGCAACGTCCGGGAGCAGCGACTGCGGGCTTTGGAGAGGCCGGGCCTGGCCGGGAAATGTGCGGTGGGCTCAGGAATGGCAGCGCGTGACAGTAATAGGCTCGGGAAGAAGCGGCTGCGAGCGGCCAGATCTGCCGCCTCCAGCCCCGCGACGGCCGTAATCGGCCGCTGCCGGGCCCTCATTGGCCAGATCCACGGGCACTAGCCCCTGCGACGGCCGGCAGGCGGATCCGCCGCCACTGGGCACGTGATGGCCGGATCCGCGGGCGCTGGCCCCGCAATGGCTCGATCCGCCAGGATTCTAAGGTTTTCTTACTTTTAATTTTTTTAGAATTTTATTTTAGTGCGGACGACATAAGCACCCACACGTAGAAATAGGATTTTTACGTGCGGGTGCGCAGCCCGCATGGGAAAATGACATTTTTTCAGACCTTATGTTACAAGCGGATCTCCGTTCACGCAAAAATGTGTTTTCGACCATATGGAAAAACGACTTCTGTAGTAGTATGTTGGAGCGCATTTTATATGATTCCGTTTGATGTAAAAAGAATGAAGAAAATCTTATACAAGTGAATTAATTAGGGCAACGTAAATCTTCGTTAGAACGAGATATTGTTATTTTCATTGCCTTTCTCGAGCGCACTCCTGACTGCAAAATTAAGTTATCCATCGATTTAGCACACAGATAATTTAGACGCCGCTTTTTACTTGCACTCAAAATCAATACGTCATCCACGAATAGATGCACAATTACTTTGATATTAAAGTCACCGGTGACCATTTCCAGGAAGATGATCCAACAAAATTCTTCGACGGTCTAAGTCATCTTTGCATCAATCCCACGATTTTTCACCATGTTTATTTACCACGCAAAAACTTTCCACTCTATCACATCAAATGTTTGTACATATGCATGAAGTATTAAATATAGAAAAATACTAATTACACAGATTTCGTGTAAATTGCGAGACAAATCTTTTAAGCTAAATTGCTCCATGCTTTGACAATGTGGTGCTACAATAAATATTTGCAAATGATGAATTAATTAAGATTAATAAATTCGTCTCGCAGTTTACAGACGGAATCTGTAATTTGTTTTGTTATTAGCCTACGTTTAATGCTTTAAATGTGTGTCTATATATCTGATGTGACATGCTAAAACTTTTCACCCCTAGATCTAAACACAGCTTTAGTGCAAATCATCTCTTTCTGTAAATTTACAATCACTAAATCCTAAAACTTAACATACAAAGATATCACATTGTAATCCACTAACAATATGCCACATCATCATCCACTAATAATTATTAAATTTAAATATCATGTAATCCGGCTATATTATTTATAGGTTTATAATTTATAAAATTTTAGAGCTTCTAAATTGCAACCACGTTAAATCATCATCGCACATAATTCACACAAAGAAAAGTACAAATTATCCCCTAAACTATTATGGTCGATCGAATTATCCCCCAACTATTGAAACCGGACAAATATCCCCCTGCCATAATCCGGAGTGGTTTTGGTTCTACATGGCAATCCAGTCAGTTAATTTTTTATTAAAAAAAATCAATGGGTCCATGTGTCATAGTCTCTCTCCCCTCTAACTTACTTATTCCCCTTACACCTCTCTGTATCTCTCTCGGGTCGGAGGCTGTGAAGGAGCCCCGCGCACTAGCAGAGGCCGAGAATGAGCCGCGCGCCGGCGGCTGCAAGCCTGCGCAGCGGGGGCCGGCCTGTCAAGCTCACTGGTCGTGCCTCGTCCTCCCGTGCTCGTGGAAGCGGCAGCTGGCGCTGGACTGGCGTGAGGAAGATGGAAAGCGGCAGCCCCAATCGGACTTCCACGGGTAGATGGGCGATGGTCGGGGGAGAGAGGCGGGCGGCGCTGGCTTGATCTTCTTCATCTTGAGCAGCTTCTTGCCGATTAGCGTCGACGCGAAGCTAGTGCAGCAGCTGCTCGGATAGTGGCAGGACGAGGGGACACAGCGTGGTGATGTTCATCTTCAGCGCGTTGCCGGCGACTGCTATGAGGTCCTTGGACAGCGAGACTCCCGACGTGCCATCGCCATCCTCCTGCTGTCGTCGCCGCCCTTGTGAGTTCTCACCGTGTGCACCAGCTCGTACTTGGATCTCTTCTTCTTCGATCGCTTGTTGGACAGCAGGATCGCCACGCTGCCCATCCGGAAGAGACAGTTGGCGACTTCGATGGAGAGCAGGCCGGCGCTGCAGCCTGCAGCCCATCCTGTCCTGGTTGTAGCTGGTGATGTTGCCCTGGATCGAACTTGTAGTGGTTCACAGCTATGGCGAACAGGGACGACGTCGGGTTGAACACAGGCTGCAGTTGACGACGAGTACGCCAATGTCCTTGGCGCTCACGCCTGTCTGGTGCAGAAGACGGCGCCGAACATGATGGCCTCGGCCTCGATCGAGCCACACCTCTGCCATGCAAGGGTTCGATGGCTCGATGAGCACGGCGATGAAGCTATGCTGAGGAGGGCGCGTCTCAACACTGCAACAACAAGTGAAGGTGGACCACGGGCGGCAGCACTGCAGTCCGAGGTGGCAACGAAATGGCAACCCGAAGCTTGATGGTGTAGCGCATGCTCGATGACGATCGGTTACAGAAGTCATTGTAGCCGAGAACTTGAACGGATGATCAAGCCAAAGTTGCGTGGGGCTAGACGACAAAGAGGAAACCGGAGTCGATGCTGAAGTCGGAGACACACAGATGTCAACGAGGCGGTGGGAGACGCAAACCCAATCTTTGATCGGGAAAAAAAAAAGGTGATACATGCAGAAGCAGCCGCAAACAGTATGGCAGTGCCTAACTTTTTTTTTTTTTTGAGAACTCATGCACTTTATTAAAAGAAAGCGTTTTAGAAACACAAAGCATGAGTTACATTAACTGCTCCATTAGGAGTGAAGGAAAGAGCTCTTTTAGTAGGACAAACATCTCTGGAACAAATGTGAGAAATATTAGAGCAATCAAAAGCTAAGCAGCTGTTAGTCTGAGCTTGTCTTGCTGACTTTGCAAGGCCATCTGCAACTTTGTTGAGCTCTCTAGAGATCCAAATGATTCGAACTTGTTGATCCTGCAGAAAATTTTTAATTCTTGAAAGAATTGGTCTCAGAGACCAATGTCCGGGGTTTTGTATGTAGTCCTCGTTCTGCACAGCATTCACTATCTCACTGTTATCTGAGAGAAAAATAGGGTCTTGCAGCTGAAGATGACGAGCAATTTGCATAGCTAAAAATAATCCTTCAGCTTCTGCTAGCAAAGGAGTTCCTGCATTGAGACTTTGAGCTTTGATGACAATAGCATTGTGATTGCTAGGGTTGTGGATGAAGATCCCTACTCCTGTTTTCTCTTCCGTCCAAGAGGCATCCACATAAACTCTTGTCCCTGCAGGAATTTTAACAACAGAATTTCTTATATTATTCTCTTCAGCCCGATTGAAGTCTTGGCAACTGTCTTCTTCCATTTGATGAACACTTTCATATGTCTTTGCCATTGCCTGCGCAGCATTGCACACTTGTTGTGGCTCCCAAATCTTTGTTTTGAAGTTGATATCATTCCTTGCTTTCCAAATCTGCCAAAGCATAATTAAAAGATTGTATATATTGATGCCATTAGCTGAAAGATAGGCAATAATATCTTGAACAGAGCCTAGAGAAGAAAGATTATCAGCTTTGAGATTAAAGTCAGAGATGAACCAACATAAACGACTGAAATTACAGAGAAAGAAGAGATGCAAGTCATCCTCCCTTTGACCACAGGTCCGACAATTGGGACTAACGGTTTTGATCCTGTGGTGCATTCTTTGAGCAGTTGGGAGAGCATTACTCAGCAGCCTCCATCCAAAAGTTTTGACTCTGGGAGGCATGTACCTGTGTTTTCAGATTAATTTCAAAAGATTTTTTGTTAAATTACTGACCTGATTTTGATTGGGGTACATTTCATTGTAAATTGTCTTGTAAGCACTCTTAGCTGAACAAACTCCTGAGGGTGTGTACTTCCAGCAAAGCCTATCTTCCTCCTCTCCCTGCATAATCTGAACCTGCATAATTGAATGTTGAGCTGCACTATAAAAAATTTGAGTTATTTTCTGAGCATCCCAATTCTTATTCTCATCCCAAAGATCAGAAACCTTATCAGGCATGTGAAAAGGAAGATTATCAAGATTAAGATGATCATGAATGTTTTTTCAAATAGAGCACCAGGGTTGGCTCCAAATAGAAATATCACCTTTAGAAAGTTGCCACACTGAAGCTTCCTCCAAGACATCCCTTACCTGAAGAATAGAAGACCAGAAAGCAGATTTTGGCATATCTGTTCTAGCCTTCCAAAAGGAAGTGTTTGGAAAATATTTTGATTTTAGGACAGAGGATAGAAGATCATTTGGATTAGTAAGAATTCTCTAGGCAGATTGGACAAGGATACTTTTATTTACAGCCATCAAATCTCTTATGCCCAAGCCTCCCTCAGAAACAGGTTTGCAAATGTCTTTCCAAGACCTAAGAGCCATTCCTTTTTTGCCACCATCTGCTTGAATTCCTGTCCACCAAAATTTCCTTATAATAGCAGTTAGTTTAGCAATCAATTTTTTTGAGAAAAGCATGATGGACATGTAATAAATAGGAATGGAAGCAAAGACAGATTTAATGAGGGCAAGCCTACCTGCATGAGAAAGAGAATTAGCTTTGTAAGTAGTAAGCTTGCTTTTAAACTTGTCGACAATGAAACTGTAGGCAGCATTTCTGTCTTTTGCCCTCACCAGAAGAGGATGCCCTAGATGCTTTGTGCTGGAGTTCATAAGAGAAACAGGAAAAATTGTAAGAATATTTTGTCTTACCTCTTCAGGAGTACTTTTGCTGAACAGGATGGAAGATTTGCCCCAATTTGGAGTCTGGCCTGATCTGAGACAAAAGGAATTGATTATTTCAGAGGTTTTCCTGACTTCCTCTTGTTGGGCCTGCCCCACAATGATTAGATCATCTGCAAACATCAGAGAATGAATGGAAGGATCATTTTGTCCTAACTTTATTCCTGAAATGTGGTTCCTTTGAATTGCATCTGCAAGCTGGTCAGAAAGTTCATTAATCGCAAGGACAAAAAGATAAGGCGATAAAGGACAACCTTGACGAATACCTCGATGAGCTGAAAAGTACCCGTACGATTGACCATTTATAACAACAGAAAAATTAGCGGAGTTGATGCAGGAAAGAACAAGACGAACGAAATTAGCATGAAACCCTTTACGACAAAGAGCGTCCGCTATGAATCTCCATTCAATCCTGTCAAAAGCTTTAGACAAGTCTATTTTTAAAAGAAAAGCTTTTTGATTAAAAGAGGTGAGATTAAAAGAGTGAGCAATTTGCTGAGCAAGCACAATATTATTAGAGATGCGTCTCCCCTTGACAAAAGCCTGCTGAGTGTCACAAATAAGGTTAGGAAGTTTATTCTGAATGTAATTAGCCAAGGACTTAGCAATGATTTTATAAGAAACATTACAAAGGCTAATGGGTCTAAAATCAGCAGGGGACTTAGGATTAGAATTTTTAGGAACAAGAACAATATTAGTAGCATTCATACCTGATTGAAGCTTACCTGTTTCATAGAAGGAGCCTACCATGGCAGTAACATCGTCTTTTATCCAATTCCAGGCAGCTCTATAAAATGCAACATTGAGACCATCTGGCCCTGGGGAGGCATCTCTTCGCATTTGCTTTAGAATTTCCAGGATGTCATTTTCAGAAGGGATTTCAGGGGGAGGAAAAATTACATCATTGTCATTTTGATCCATAGAAGGAGTGGCATCATCTGTATTGGAGCTTTGAAAGAGATTTTCAAAGTAAGAAGTGAAGACAGTTGCTATCTCCTCAGGATCATTAATTATTGAATTATTATGGATAACACTAGAGATTCTGTTCTCTCTCCTTCTCTTCTGGGTTGCTTTTTGAAAGAAAGAAGTGTTTCTGTTACCTTTCTGGACCCAATGCTTCTTACTTCTCTGTTTGTGATAATCGGCCAGCTTCTGCATGGTAATATCATGTTGTTGCACAATCCTTTTCTCCTCAAAGTACAAATGTTCTCTGTCGGGGGAACTCTGAATTTTCAACAGATCTTCTTCCAACTGATCCAATTGCTGCTGAAGAGGTTTCTTCTTTTTGCTCCAAGAGGTTAAGGATCTTGCTAACAAGGTTGTTCTTCTCTGAAAATGACAGTTTACAGACTGCAGCCAGGCTGAATGAGCATGCTGATTAAAATCTGGTTCAAGCAGCCACCAATTTTCAAACATGAAAGATCTTTTAGGCCTCCTGTTCTTCGGATTGAGAATGGCAATGATGGGAGCATGATCACTATACAACATGGGCAAGTGATAAACAGTGGTATTTGGATAATCAAAACACCATTCCACATTTGCAAGACATCTGTCCAACCTTTCCAAAACCAGATCCTTACCCCTGTTGCTTATTGGACCAAGTGTAAGCTGGACCATTATAACCCATATCCATAAGCCCCAGATTGATTGACAGGATGCTTAAAAATGAGTAATACGATTGCCTTGGAATGAGGAGGGGCCAAACCATACTTTTCATTAGCATGCATGATCTCATTAAGGTCTCCCATACAAAAGGTAGGTATGTGACTACTATGTACAACAAAAGAGGAGATTTCACTCCACATGGCACTAGTGGCCCTGTGACTAGGATCACCATAAATACAAAGAAGATTGAAAATAGGACCAGAGTTCTTATAGACTCCATAAGCTAAGATATAATTAACACTAGACTGAACTATAGTTAAGATCCATGTCTTCATCCCACATCAGCCACAGACCACCAGAAGCTTGATCAGCAGGAACCACATGACTATTAGCTACATGAAAATGATGGATCAGATCAGAAGCAGTGACTTTAGAGCTTTTTGTTTCTGAAATAAAGATTACCTTAGCATTAGTAGAGTATATTAGGCGTTGGAGGTGTTGCATTTTCCTACTGCCGAGGTGACCCCCCATACCTCGGCAGTTCCAGCTTAAAAGACTCATGGCGCCCTTGACGCCTTATGGGCTGGCGCCATTGCCCATCCATCATTCTTTCCACTTCCATCTCCACCGTTTCCAGCACTGGGATCAACAAGCTGAATCTCTGAAACATTGCATTCCCTAGGATCTGTAGCCAGTATCAGCCTGGAGCTAGCTCCAGCATCACTTGCACCACCCCCTTGAGTATCTCCGGCAGCTTGATCAACAAAGATATCATGATGCACCTCCAAAGCACTCCAAGTATGCTTCCTGCTATGAAAATTGTTAATGCTTTGAGGGGATCTTGGAGCATCTCTTTGAATGACATCAGAATGAGCAGCAGCAAGAGGTCTCCAAGAAGTGGAGGTCACCATTCCACCACCATAACCTCCTCTCTGATCCCATCTTGTAGCTCTCTGCCCACCTCTTCTACTTGGAACCCTGATTGGTGCTGAATGATGGTTAGTTGGAGAAGCACTTCTTGATTCAATCCCTCCATGTTCTTCACCTCCCACAATCGAGAAGGAAGAGGCAGCTGAAGTAGTTGGGGAGCAATGGCGTTTGGTAGATTCATGGGCTGCTTCATGAAACCCTCTCTTCTTACTTAAATGTTGTGAGGCTGTCTCATAAATCTTGGTAGCTCTTGTGCTTCTTCTGTGTTGCACTTCGTTGGTGCCAATAGCAGGGTTAACTAAACTGTTCTGATGGGCACTTGCACTGGGTGAAACTCGGTGAACCAATGGAACAGACTGGACTGGTTCCATCTGATGCACCTTACCAGCAGTATTGACATTCTTTGAGTTGCAGCTGACATGATCCTCTATAGTACTTGAAACCAGCTTCTTTTTCTCTGTACTTCCATGTACCAACATCTCTTCGGTACCAACTTCTGGTATACTTTGTATATCAGGTTCTTTGTCTTTTTTCTCACATTGTTTGCCTGCTGTGGTAGTGTGAACAGCTTGACTTGGGGGCCCTTGAACAGTGCTGCAGCCAGCTAAAGTCAAAGCTTTCTCACTCGCTTTTTTCCAATCTAGCTTGGGCATTAATGACTGGCTGGTCCCACTTCCTCTCTCTTGCTGCTTCTGCTGTTCTTGAATGTTCTTGAATTGAGGAGAAGAAAAATGTTGCCTGAATTTTTCCACAATTGAATTTTTGTTGGATTCCTCCATATCCAAAAATGCCTCTGATGGCATATAATCGATCTGAGTGATCCACTTTCCCAGTTTATCCTTAAGATCTTCCTCGAATGCATCTGGAAATTGAATGATAATTCTTTGTCTTTGAGGACAGACCTGAACATTATGGAAGAGGAGACCACAAAAAGTACATATTCTGGGAGTTCTTTCATAATGCAGAAAAGCTTTAAGTTCAGATTTATCAGGAAGCTCCAAGATAACATGATCAGGAACTGGTTTTTCCACATCAATCCTGATTCTAACACAAACAAATTTCTGATTCCTCAGCAAACTATCTGGATCTATTGGTTCAGCTTTTGAGATTTGACCTATGTTTTCAGCAGCCAACTTGACATTCTTAACATTTCTAAGACTTGGGGGAATGCCATAGATACGCACATTAACCATAAGATGCTTGAAAGTGTAAGCTGACATAGGTTTAATTTTCTCATCCAAAGAAACCCATTCAAGCAGAAAAACATCACTGCCAAAAGACCACGGTTGCTTTTGCCAAACCCAGGACAGATCTTCATAATTACGAAAATGAGCCATAAAGAGATTGCTTTCTACCTGAGAGATGTCAAGATAAACTCTTTGCCAAGCTTTTGCCATTGATTTCTTCAAAGCCTCCAAAGGGATCTGCCTCTGCTGGCCTCCAGAATGTCCAACCTTCATGAGGAGGTTGTGAGTGGTTTGAACTGTTGCCGTTTCAGGAGACTGTTGCAACCTCACTCTGATCTCCTTTGTTGGTGTGATTGTCATCGCTTCCAGAGAGGTGGCAATCTCTGGAAGTTGAGAGTGGACTACTTCATGCTCATCCTCCAGGGGTGGATCCCCATCCAGATCCATGACCCCCTACGAACGCCAAAGCAGAACAAAACAGGAAGGGGAAGAAGAAGGTAAGGAAGAGGGATTGAACGAGGGAATGTGGAATAGAATGTGGATGAGGAGGACTAGGTTAGCATTGAAGAGGAAAGAGGGAAATTGAAGAAGATGGGAATAGGGCAGCAAAGGGCTGACTACAGTATACACTGACTTAGGTGGTGTTTAGATCCAGGGACTTAACTTTAGTCCTTGTCTTTAGACACTAATTTAGAGTATTAAATATAGACTACTTACAAAACTAATTACATAAATAAAAGCTAATTCACGAGACAAATTTTTTAAGCCTAATTAATCTATAATTAGAGAATGTTTACTGTAGCATCACATAGGCTAATCATGGATTAATTAGGCTCATTAGATTCGTCTCGTAAATTAGTCCAAGATTATGGATGGGTTTTATTAATAGTCTACGTTTAATATTTATAATTAATTTTCAAATATCCGATGTGATAGGGACTTAAAAGTTTTAGTCCCATCTAAACAGGGCCTTACGGCATAGAGCCGACCCTCGTTAGCGCAGTGCCTAACTTCAATGGTGCAAAGACCAAGTAGCCGAGCAGGTTTTCAATTTCGAAATTGGTTTTTTTCTGGGGTGGACCAAAATTTCAGAAATTTTTTGGCTGAAATTATTTAAATGTTTTACTGATTTTGAATGAATTTAAATAAAATTTGACCAAATTCATAAAAATTTAAAAAACCCGAAATTTTCGGATGAGATATGAGCTTGCCGGTCATGGACGAAATTACCGAAATTTCGGAAATCTCGAAACAAAATTTCAAAACCCTGGAGCCGAGGCGGTTGGTCCATGGTGGCCATCCCCACGCTGCGGCGGAGTCCAGATGGCGCCTGCCGCTTCCCGAGAGGGGGAATGGAGGAGGTGGTGGCTAGGGCGAAACGACTAGCACGCCCCCACCTATGTCTCGCTGTTCCGGGCCGTCGCGCTCCACGCCCGGAACGGCCATTGCTATTCCCTATCGCTTCCGCGTCTATTGATTGCGTCGCCGACGCGCGGCGGGTCATCCTGTTCGACGAGTTCAGCTTCAGGCCTGGCGGCGTCTCGGCCGTGTCCGTCCACGGGTGTCATGGCGGATGGCCGAGGCCCGAGAGGCCGAAGCTCCAGGCCGCCGACCCTGGCCTAATGGGGTTCATCCTCATCTCAAACTCCCTCTTCTTTCAGATCAACAAACGAGTCCGACTACGCTGAGGCCACCGGCGGCGCCTTCTGCCCGCTCACCATCGACGATCGGCATGGCGCTGCCGGAGGCCAACATTGCGCAGTTCAGCTCATGCTTCGCCGGTGGACTGAAGCAGCTGTGACGAACAGCTTGTTGCATTTCCTGCTTCTTACTGCTACGAATTGTTGCAGAGTTCAGAATTTGTTCAGTTTAGGTGCTTCTGTAATGCTAGCGGTTGGATTGCAATCGTTGATCAATCACATAAGCGATTGCAAATTTGCAATTGTCAATCAATGAAAAAGTCAGATAAGCTGTAAACTTTTCTACATTTTTTTCAGAGATGGGGCAGAATAAGGCCTGCTTCGATCAGCTTCTGTTATAAAAAGAAAACACTGAATATTCGGTTGTATACTGCATTTCTTCTTAGTAAATGCACTTTTCTAAAGAATCTTGCTCGCGCCTCTTGCAGAAGACGGAAGGGGAGAGGAAGAGAAAGAAAGAGAGAAAGGATAGAGGGGGAGAAAAAGAAAGACAGAGAGGATGATATGTAGGCCCCATATTTTTTTTTTGCGAATGATAAATGGGTCCTATATATATGTTTTTAATTCTACTACCACCTAAACGTCACAGACAAGTCAATACTGTCATGTAGATGTCACGTCAGCGAAACCGTCCTCTGGAGGGTTGAGATATCCAGTATTGCGGTTTAAGGATTCGAAATAGATTTGGTCACAAGTTAAGGGAGTCATTGTAAACATATTTCAAAGAATAAAGACACCATAGGTCCCGGGCCCAACAGAGGCCCAGGACGCGAGGGTTTTATCACTCTCCGTTGCCGGAGTCCGGTGAGAAAAGGAAAGAACTCGCCGTCGCCGACCGCGGGCGAGGTGGCCGGCGTCCCCTCGAGCGGCGCTCTCCTCCACCTCCGCGGCACATCCATCTTTTTCCACGACCGCCTCCGCCGCGCCCTCCTATTCTCCCCGGCGATGGCGCCGCCTCTTCTTGGTTCTTCAGCCACCCTCAACCCCGGCCACTGGTTCCTCGGAGGTATATACGCATATATGTCTCGTCTCTGCTCCTCTACCCTGATCTTTCAGTTCTTGTTTAGGAACTCGAGAATCGAGATGACCGAGGAAGAAGCCAGTGCATTCTGAAACAAAAAAAAACCCCTCTAATCTTTGGTTCAGTTGCATATGGTGGCTTTACTTGGGCGCTTCGGTTCCAAATATGTTAGTCCAGTAGATTCTTGTTGCAATTTATTGTATGCTTCTGTTATATCTAGTTTACTTGTTTCTAAAACCTTGGATTACTCAATTCCCTAATCAATTAGTACAGTTTATTTTCCCAAATATACCAGTTTCAGGTTTTAGTTTGTATAAAATGTAGGTGCATTTTATTAATTGATTTGTGGAATACTTACCTGTTCTTTTGAACAAGCAAATCCAAGATTTTAATTCGTTTATAGCTGCAAATCCTTTCGTTTTCAATTGGTACTGTAAATCATACATAGTTTGTTCGACTAATTCGGTTCTAGGTTTGAAAAGTTGCTCTATGTTAACTGATTTTCAGAGTTTCTACCTTAATTAATCATTTCGTGGATGAATAGATAGGTTACTTCTTTAAATCGAATCGTGAAGCACAAACACGTACAGCAAAATGCAAAAAGTTTTAAATTTCATCAGTATAAATATGGCACATTAATTTTCCATCCTGTATTCATGTGATTCATTACGATTTCATCAATTTTAATCCAGGGCTCTGGACACCTGCTACCCTTTGAAATTACATAACTAGCATTGCTGCATTTCTCAATGGATCATCTCTCGGAGGAACTGATCATAAATATTCTCAAGAGGATTGCAAGGACAAACAATCTGAATTCTCTTTCCCTTGTGTCGAAGCAGCTCTACAACATTGATGCGGAGCAAAGGGCCACTAATTTGTGTTGGTAGTGGACTTGCAATTGAAGCTTTACCAGCACTTTTTTCCCAATTCCCCAATTTACACAAAGTAGAGATCAATTACTCTGGTTGGGCACCTGGCAATGGGAGTCAGATCGACAACCAAGGTCTCCGTGTGCTTTCATTCTCACTGCCCTTGCTCAATGATCTCACCTTAAGCTTCTGCTCTGAAATCAATGACTCTGGTCTTGCTTGCCTGACTAATTGCAAGATGTTGATGTCCCTAAAACTGAACTCCACACCAGAAATAACTTCAAGGGGGCTTCTCTCTTTAGCTGTTGGTTGCAAGACTCTATCTTCTCTCCACCTTAACAATTGTAAGGGAATTACTAGCAGCACTGAGTGGTTGGAGCATCTTGGCACTAACGGATCATTGGAAGAACTAGTAGTGAAGAATTGCAAAGGAATAGGGCAGTATCATTTTTTAATGTTTGGCCCAGGATGGATGAAGCTTCAGAAATTTGAGTTTGAAAACGAACAAAGTTTTTGGAGTATTTTCAGAAGAGATCGTGACCCATCATACAAGGCTCACACTTATAGATATGATCTTTTGTGCGAGGGTTTGAAGGACTTGAGGTTGGTGCATATTGTAACAGAGCCGAAAGGCCCAGAAATAGGACTTCGTTTTCTGTTGGGAAAGTGCAGGTCGTTAGAGAAGCTAAGCCTAGAGTATGTTAGTGGTCTTATTGACAATGACATGATTGCACTATCCCAGACCTGCAAGAATCTTAAAAGCATCTCACTTTGGCTGAAACCCGAACACTACAATGTTGGTGATGATATAATTTTCAGGACGGGTTTTACTGATGAAAGTCTCAAGGCACTAGCTCTCAACTGTCCTTTCCTTCAGAAATGTTGAACTGACATTTACAGGTTGTGAGCATTGGCTTCCACCTGAAATAGGCTTCACACAGGGGACTTGTGATGTTCGTTCAATCTTGTCCGATTCGTGTTCTCATCCTGAACGGCGCCCTCTTCTTCGATGGTGACGGGATGGAGGGCCTCTCATCTGCACCGTTCCTGGAAACACTCACCCTTATGGATTGCAAGGACGTAACTGATCATGGGATGCGCTGCATTGCACATTTTCCATGCTTGATTAATCTCACTCTCCGGTATTGTAAGCGTGTGAGTGATGTTGGAATGACCAAGCTGGCTCATGCACAGAAATTACAGTCTCTGGTCGTTGGTGGCTGTCCTAAGATCTCTGAGAAAGGCGTGCAGGGTGCTGCCAAATCAGTCTGCTATGAAGTCAATTGTGAAAACCTTGCCCATTATTTGCGAATCTGGCAAAGCTGTCATGCCGTTGCTTAGAGCACATTGTCATCGTTAACCTGCTAGCCTTTTCTCACCTTACTTTTCACCATCATTTTGTACTTGATAGTACTTAAATTGCTGTGGTTAGCTGTAGCATAAGAGTGTCTTTTGGAAGGCATCCTTCCCATGAATGAAAATTCTCAATGACAACCTTCTTCAATGGCTTCCAGCATTAGTGTTCTTGAAGTTCATATTTCATCCTCAGGATTTTTATTTTGCCCTTTTTGAGTCAAACATGTTATTCCTCTTCGCCATCTGATTTAACCTGATGCGGTTTTCAATAATTGTAGACATCTAGCAAATCAAGGGAAGAGAGATTATTCGGATGAATGAGGAGATAATTAACCTCCCAATCTTAAAATTAAACACAAGAAGATATCTTTAGCCTGAATTATTCATAACTAGTGACAACACCTGATCCAAGATACACAATGTTTTCTTTAGAGGGACATGCTAACAACAACATCATTATCGTCTATATATCTAGAACAGAGTTACAAATGACAAATATAATATTAGCATATAACAGAAGCGCTCACATTCAAACGACAACCATATAGTACTTGTGCAATCATCTAGCAAATTCTATGCTCATTGCAGCCACCCTCCTAAGGCTGTCGTAACCATTGGTTTCACCTGTGAAATGCTCTGATGTGTCTGCAG